CACACAACACGATCACACACATATATGATATAAATAATAATAATTATATATATATCTATAGTATAGTACTATGATAGTATAGATTATTTATGTTATTTTTATATTATGGGGCAGAACGTGGTATAGAGTGACCTAGGACAACTCAGGTGGAGACGAGGCAAATTAGTGAAGAGGGGCAAGAAAGCAAGGAATCAGTCTAGGGTGGAGTGCCTTCGCGAGGCTACAGTAGCGCACACTAAGTTCTTGCATTGGGGTGCTATGCAAAGTCTTTAACCATTCGTCTCCCAGTGATGACCTATGGCCATAAAATGGACAGCAGACGCCAGGTTATAGTGAGAGGAAACTAATAAGCGCCCGCAGAGAGGAGATTGAAAGATCGATGATGGAATTAGCTGAGATGATCGGAAGGGCGGAGAGAGAGAACAGACGAAGGTAGAAAGATATACCAGGCAGCAAGTTAAAAGAAAAAATGGCAATGGGCAGAGAGAGAGAGACGACAGATGGACAAGAAAGTAACAGATTACTGGACTATAATAAACTTCAAGGAGGCAAGAGCTAGATCCAATGACACGAGGGCGGTACGAAAAATAGCGAAATTTAAGGGCCAAGACTGGAACAAAGCATCGCAAGGCATATGGGAGAGGCGAACGCTGCGGAGTGGTATTGTTTTACTCAGTGGCTGATGTATGATATAGTTATAATATATATTTATTATACTATACAATATAGTAGGTTATAATGTAGGTATGAATATAGTTATGACTTATAAGGTTTATGTATGTATGTATGTTGTATAGTGTAATAGTAATACATATATATTAGTGAGTATATTATATATATATATAGACTAGGTACTTATATATAGTAGATGAGGATAGATGGATAGAATAGAATAGATGATGAATATATATAATATATATATATGATGTAAATATGTAGTACGGCATATATATAATAGTATATATATATTAAATGTAGAAACACACCCACACACAGCCACCACACACACACGACACACACTACACACACACACACAGCACACACACAGCATATATAATATATATATACTAGTAAATGTATAATATAGACACATCGCACATATGATATACATATATATATTACACCACCCGAGTTGGAGCACCCCACACACTGAATATAGCTATATATAGAGCTATATATGTTATAGGTTAGAGAATACTATATAATAGTATATATAGTAGTATAATTACTAGTATGTAATAGTGTTGCGTGGTATAGTAATGTTTTATCATTGGGTTATAATTATTGTTAATTGATGGTCATTATTATCATTTGACTATGTTGTTGTGTGGGATTCCTTATCATTATGTATCATTATCGTTATAATTTATGCTTAGTGTATAATTATTATCATTCTATCATGATTTACATTATTGTTATAATAATCATTATCACCATTTTCATTATCATTTTCATGATCATCGTTATTAACATCATTACTATTGTTATTACTATCATCATCATTATCCTCATCGTTATTATAATTATTTACCGTTTGTTTTTCTCATTATTACTATCGTTATTGCTCATCATTATTATTAATATAATTATTGTTATTATTACCTCCGCCAAGGATGCTGTTTTTCGTACCGTTGGTCAGTTTGTCTCTTTGTTATTTGGTTCGCAGAATAACAAAATTATGAACACACCATTATCTTAACTCAGATGCCATCAATTTTTTGGTCGTGATCCGGCTCCAGGCATTTTTGAATGACTGTTTCAGTGACCGTGAGTCCTGCCCCGAAGGCCAAGATGAAGAGGACGGGCGCCCACTCGGGGAACGGCCGCCACCTGTCAAAACCCGAGTCCTCCGAAGCAAGGCGCCTCCTGGCCCTTGCCAGGGAGATCGTGGCGTAAAACTGAATCAGCTATTGTTGTTGTTATTACCATTATTATTATCATTTTGATTATCCTCATAACTATTGTTACCGTTGCTGTTTTTACTTTTTTTTAAGTATTACCACCACCATAATCATTACTATTACTATATTAATCATGTCGTTATATCCATTTATCATTTACTACTATCATTACTATTATATATTACATCAATTATACCTATCACATTATTATCACTTTCATCATTCTGATCCTCATCGTGAACATCAATGTGCGTATGTATATGCATGTGTGTCGAGTGTGGTGAGTGTGAGTGTGGTGTACATGTGATTGTGATTGTGTATGTGATTGTGTGTGTTATGTGTATATACATACATACATACATATATATATATATATATATATATATATATATATATATATAATATTAATTAAATAAATAAATAAATAATAAATATATATATATATATATATATATATATTATATATATATATATATATATATATATATGTATGTGTGTGTGTGATTGTGTGTGTGTATGTGTGTGTGTGTATAATTGTGTGTGATTGTGATTGTGTGTGTGTGTGGCCACCCTTATTTTTACCCCTTCTTTCATTTCAGTCTCTAATGTAATTGTTGATCTTCACACATTATCAATAAAGACTTCCATGATCTTGGTCCTACTCTCGTTCACTTTCATTCCAGCTCTCGTTTCTGCAAGCTTCTGCCTGTCCTGCTCTGCATAACCTTTGCCCATGAAGGTCACATCGTCCTCATACCCCAGGTATTCGTTGGACACCCCATTAGATAATCATACCAATTCCTCACCTCACTGGGTATCATCCTCATCATCCAATCAAAAAACAAGTGAAAATTGAGAGTAGATATGTTTGCCTCAACTCCGTCTCCACTGCAAAGGGGTTTGTGAATGACCCTCCGATCCTTACCCTGCCCAGCACACTTGTGACAGTCCAGTCAGCTTCTCGGGGATGTTGAAGTGTCTCGGGATATTCCACTCTGAGGTTTTGTGGGCACTCGCAAGCTTCTCTGAAGTATGAAACATATGCTGAGTTTTTATTGGCTTCTCGGTATTTTTCAGTGATCTGACG